TACTACTACCTACTACGTAACGTACGTACGAACTAAACGTACGTAGTACTAGTATATAGTTCTTCTCTACTAGTAGTAGTAGTAGTAGTAGTACCTCTCTCTCTCTCTCTCTCTCTCTCTCTCTCTCTCTCTCTCTCTCTTCTTTATATATATATATATATATATATATATATATAGAGGGAATGGATGCTGTCAGCCCACAGGCTGACTGCTACAATGTCAACCAATGTCCTAGATTGCATCTGGGCCGATCTGACGGTCACGACCTTATTTCGTATTTGAATTTTTATTTTTATTTTTCTACAAATCCAAATCACTTGAAAATTAAAGCGTACATTCTACTCACCAAGGAGCACCTAATAAAAATATAAAAAAAATGATTCGCAAAATATAAATTGACCAAAGTACCCCCGAAAAGTTTCAAGGGTATTTTGGTCAATTTATATTTTTAGAATTATTTTTTATAGTTTTATTAGATTCTACTATTTTTTAAGAATAGGCGCTCAACTTTTCAAGTGATTTGGATTTATATAAAAAAAATGAAAATTCAAATACGAAATGAGGTCGTGACCATTGGATTGGGCCAGATTCAATCTGGGCCGTTGACTGACACTGTAGCTGTTAACCCGTAGGCTGACATAATCTTTTCCCATATATATATATATATATATAAACCAATCTATTATGTATCTCTTTTCCATGGGCTTTGCACATGCTACAATCTATCGCATGCGTATTAAAAACACCATGTTTTGTGTCATTATAGCCTACCAAAGATAGAGCATTATACGTTATAGGATCAACCAGAGGCTTTTATGCATTGTTTTTTTGTCTAGGCAATGCAAAGTTTGGTAATGTCCTCGATACAAGAATTTAGTGGACAAGTAAGCAATGCATTAGGCAAAAACCAGATTAGAAGTAATTTTAGGGTATACTTAGAAACAATGTTGAAAGCTAAGTGGGTAAGAGGGGGTAATGGAGCAAGGACGAAGATCACATAGGGGATTTGTTGTCAATCATTTACTACACTTTGAAGGGAGGTATGTTGGGGAGTTGCCAGGAGCCTAGGACGTCTAGCATCTACAATAGGGTAACCTAGCACTTCTCTAGGTATTCCTTTTTGGCTGAATAGCCATGATGAATAATAAGATCATAAGAAGAGACGGTCTACAAAGCATTATGTGTCAATGAGAAAAGCCGACACCAGAAGACATCCCAATGCATTGCCCTTTGAAAGAAATATTTAGAGCTTTAATATATCTCTTCAATGCATGTGGGTGTTGCTAGCATTAGTGGGAATCATCTTGGTTGGCTATTTAATTGATCCATTACCCCAAATTACTTGAATCTTTGGCCCACCATGAATCTTTTTGAGAACATGAAAATAGAGCAAGTGAGAATGAAACAAAACATTTCATGATTTCATGGGCTCATATCAGTTGCAGCATTTGTGATACGTGGTGTACAACAACCAATATTACATGGACACTAACACAAGTGCCGGTGTTTATCGGTGTTGCAGATGTCTAGTATGTTGGCCTAAAAGTCAGATGCAATTTGACACGTCCATGCACTTCTCTTTATAAGTAACACTATATATTGTTTTATGACGTATAATATAACTTGTCACTCTACACCGTAAAGCAAGTGGAGTAGAGTGGTATAAGTAGCGGGGTTGACTCAAAATTTCTTGAGTTCTAAGCCCCACATGTTCTTCCTTGATATTTTTTATACAGTTTAACACATAAAAAGTGTCCCCACATGTCAACAATTGTCCACATGTGTCGACACGAGGCCAAGGGCCACAATGTACCACCGACAAAAACACATTCTCTGTCATTTTTTACTCTTTTTCCTTTTTCGTTTTGGGTAGTTCATTAGTAGGATTCAATCGTTAACACCCCAACAATCAAGACCTAAGTGGAATCTCAAGAATATGCTTCTTTTTCAGGAAAGGCAAGCTTTCCTCAACAGAGGTTACTTGCAAATAAATTTGAAGACATACATAAACTAGATTTTACATCTATCAATAACTAGAAGGACAATAAGATTCAGGCTTGGGTCAAGGCGCTAGCAGCTGAGTTTTATAGCACTACATCTCAAGTTCCATTCTTATGTAGTCTTGTCCAAAAAAAAGGGTTTTTATAGCACTACATCTCAAGTTCCAATTATATGTAACCTTGTCCAAAAAAAAAAGGACAATCATAATCAACATTTACGAAATCGGCTTGGTTCAGGTACTCAACCCTGACACGAGCAGAGTACTTTCTTATTTGAAAGGTAAAGAAGAAATTAAAAAATAAAAATAAAAAAAGGAGAGGAAACTGAAGCTTCACATGGGGCGAGGACACCCGCATGCCCAAGACAAAAATGATGGGTCAAGCCATGGCCAAAGGAGAGAAAGCTCGAGGCCAAATTTTCGCCACATCTTTCTCTCTCCTATGGCACGTCTCCCTCGCTCTCATTGGTGCACCTCTCTCTCTATCAAATCTCACATGTACAGCTCTCTTTCTCTCTTATCCTCTCCCCTCTCCCATCTCATTGGTGTCTGTCAAATCTTACAAGTACAGGTACAGCTCCCTCTCCCTCTCCTTCTCCTCCCTCCCTCTCTCTTCCCCCCCCCAAAAAAAAGACAGGTACAGCTCCCTCTCCCTCTCCTCCCTCCCTCTCTCTTCCCCCCCCCAAAAAAAAGACAGGTACATTCACTCTCCCTTTCTTGTCTCACATCTACCATTTCACTGGTACATCTCTTTCTCTCTCACACAGCTAGCTCTCTCTCTCTCATCCTCTCTCTCTCTCTTATGTCTAGATCTTTCCCTTCCCCTCTCCCTATGTATGGGTCGTTTTCCTCTCTCACTTACCCAAAACGGGAGTTTGCTGGGTAGAGAGAGTGAGAAAGACATTTAAAAGTTCTAGCCCTTACAAGTTTTGAGATTTAACTCATGCAATGGAATGCAGTATAACTCGGCTCGCCAAAGGGGCAAGTCCAAGTAGCTCGGGACTTGGTTCAATCACTAAACACTAGTCATAAAAATTTTAAACAAGGTTTAAAAAAATTAGCAATCCGGATCAGAATCGCCTAAACCGAATCGGATTTCACACTGGACAAATCGGATCACTACATATATCAGGATTCGCCAGATCCACCCCTTGGATCACCGATTCTACTATTGCGAATCAGCGATTTGCTACAGTAGAATCACCGATCCACTGTAGCCCACCCATATAATTTAAAGGCCTCCTCTTACGTTGGACAGCCCAACTCCTATGATTGAGGATCCACCACATGTAGCTCGATGGCTCACGCTCCCCAACAACTTTTTCCCTAAACTCCTGTTTCTCTAACTAGCACTTGTCCCCCGTGACTCTGTGGGATTGCCTGATGTGGGAGTATTACTGTAGGTGATAATTTGCCCAACAGAGCAATAAAAGCGGGAGAGAGGGACAAAGATGGGTAAGCCAAGAAAGAGTGTTGGGTCAAAAAATGCCCACCGTACTAAGAGAGAGAGGGAGAGAGATGGGTAATGCAGAAGAGAGAGAAATGGGTATTGTAAGGGGAGAGAGAGAGAGAGGAGCATTGGATGATGTAAGTTGTATACAAAAAAGGGACTGTTAGATAAATTTTTTTATTTAATTTAGGTTAAGTTTGACCCAATTTCAGTTGGGTTTGTGATCTTAAGAGATTTAATTATTATATAAATCAGGTATATTTAATTATCATTTCGTATTTTTTTTCTACAATGTTTTTTGCATGAATGTACCACAGATTTTAGGGATCCACTATTTCAATCAGTTCAATGGATAGAAATCAACAAGAGCATGGATTTTGAGCCATAACGCAGACTGGTTTAGGGGATTTTGAGAAATCGTGTTTTAAAAACTAATAATTTACTAAACAAATTGGGGATTTTGATGCGTACAGTTTATGGATGCACATGGTGTGTACTTCAAATTTTTTTCATTTTTTAATTTTCTTAAATTTTATGTCGTTATTTTCCATTGTTTTAGGGAAAGAAGTCATTGTTTTTTAATTTTTTTAATCATTGAAATTCATAAGGGGTTTTATTTTCATTTTTAAAATCTTATGATATGAAAGTGTTTTTTAATATTTTTAAAATTATGATTGCTGCAATATTATAATCAATAATTATATATTAAAAACCAAACCTTGGATTCTATTTATTACTTTATTTATATTATGAATTATATACTGTATTATTTTGTGTTATAGTCACAAATAAGATTGTTTCCAATTATATGAAATTATAAGACAAAGTTTAAATTTATTCTTAATTGTAGAGTAAAATAATTATAAAATATAAACTAATAGTTCCAATTTAAATTTCTGAATCATGTTTGATGCAATATTATATTATATTCTAATTAATAACTATACAGATATCCATACAGGGAAACAATGCCTCAATATTCACCTATTTTTGTAAAATAATGAAAGTACATAATGTAACACCTCCAATTTTTTTAAAAACTTAAAAACCACTATTTTAAAGGATTTTTATTTTCAAATTTTACTTTTGGGCTGAAACCAGCCTATTTGGCCGATTCTCCGATCCAAGTCGTCAATCTACCAATCCGACACGGTTTTTGGAATGGCCGATACGAGTCACCGATCCGTTACCTTGATTTTAAATATGGATACTACATATTCAGAGCATTAAAATTGAACCACCAAAGGTACGATGAATCCCAATGAATTCCAAAAGCAAAGCACTTAAAAAGATCCAATTATGAATTTCAACTACGAGTAATAATACATTCAAAAAACAAATCATTTGAATAAGACATTCGAGATTAAGGAGGTTCTGTTGGATGCCTGTTATAAACCCAATCTGCGGAAAAAATAAATATAGATGAGAATTTAAAATCTGAGCAAGGATGAATACCTCTTATTAATGCATTATAAGAGAATCTCAATGCAGCGTGAGTATGGTCCTTAAAATTCTTGCTCAAAACCACCATGAAAATTCAAGAAGAGATTCAATTGATTTAAGAGGCTGAACCATGATTGATGGCACCTGATTAAGACAGATAAATGTGACTAGTTGCCAAACACTAAACAAAGTGATAACTAAAATATCTGCTTCTACCACACCATACATTTCTAGGGTTTGACATGTCCACCATCAATACAATCAACTAAACTATCAATAGAGCCGCCATTTAAAGGAAGCTAAATCCAACAAAAATGAAACAGAGAAAATAATCAAATATGTGGTTCAACGTAATCGTAAGAGATGAATTCCCATGTTTCATATGAGAAGATTTCTTGGATTTCAAAAACTGTGATTTCTAGGTTAATGGACTGGTTTTTACTTGTTTTCTCATAGCTTTGTTGAAGGGATTCAAGTATTCGACGAATAAGAGGTGGGAGAATAGAGAGAGAGAGAGAGAAGTTAGAAGGCGGTTTATATAGGTGACTGGCTTCCATAGAGAGAGGGGATCACTGGTTAAGCAGGAAGCTCAACCCTGGTTAAAATTAATTGTCGCTCGTAGGACCATAACTTATGTGGTCCTGAGGGTCAACATTGTCCTATCAATAGGTTGGACAGTGATGGAGATGGAGTGGACCTTTCATACATGAAATGGCTTTGATTGTATGTCTTGTCCCCCATCACCGTCCAACCCAAGGAATTAACGGTGATGGCATATACGACTATGTAATTGTTGTACCCAAGGGGACTTGGTCAATTAAAGTACCAGTTCAAATGTATATTTTCCAAAATTTATCTTAGAATTCAAGGGGTTGTTCGTATACCTTGAAATCTATTACAGGGAAATAGATTACAAGGAACTGCTAGAATAGGCAGGAAATGAATTGTGATTACCCAAGATTACCCAGGATTTCCCCAAAAAGCTCGTAATCCATTTCACAATGGGAGGGCAGGGAAATGGATTCACTGTGACAGATAATCTTACTTTACGTGAGTCCTTGCAACAAAAATATTCTCCTTAGGAGGCAATCATAAATAGCTCCCACGATTCAAGAGCTAAGTTTGTGTTGAAATTTACCATTTTGAGCATCACCAACATGTACCCTCAGGGGCCGTTTAGGTACCTGGAAATATATTGTCTGTAAAATAAATTACTAGCGTAATACATTACTAAAGTAATATATTTTCTGAAAATGGAATGTTGTTGTTTGGGTAGCATCTGAATGCAACCTGGGAATGTATTGTTATTGTTTGGCTACATCTGGAAGAAATTTGAAAAATGCATTACCAGTATTTGCAAAATCAAACCGGAACGGTTAATTGGACACGGACCTGGAAGCGGTTTAACCGACCAAACCGGTAAACCGGCCGATTCAACCGCTCTAACCGTGCAAGTCCCAAGCTGTCAAAAAAGTGTCAAAAAAAATACAAAAACAAAATATTAAAATATGAAAAGCATAACAAAACACATTCATATGAAATTGAAAATTAATGAAGAAAATGGATTTTAACCAATTTAATATTTTTCAATGGTTATTTTTAAAATTTTTCAAAACATATGGGAAAATATAAAAGTGAGTATTAATGACCAAAACAATTTTTAATCTTTACCATAATGTAAACAATATTTAAAAATACATTACAAATCAAATTATTTTTTTTTGAGAATTTATATACATTTTTTTCAATTTTTCTTTAAAAATACTAACCGCTCAAAACCGGAACCAGCTACTGGCTGGTTCCAATCTAACCAGGCTGTTAGCGGTTAGATCAGGCGATTTTGTGAACAATGTGCATAACTGTCATTTTGTGGAAATACCGCATCAAAAATTTGCTTAAAATATAATTATTTTATTATAAAAGTTAAATTCATTTAAGAAGTTTATTTTAGGAAGTTATAAATTGGTTAAATAGTTTTATTAAAAATTACAAAAAATTTGTTGTCTTTGTGATTAAAGGTAATTTCAAATAAAAAAGATATAAAATTAGTACTTTAGAGCATTTAATGTAAAGTAAATGATGACGTATGGGAGATAAAGCCAAGGCCAAGGCACTTTATTTGAAGGGGAAAATTGTGAGGAGATGGTCTGCATTACGATATTGTATATTTACTTTCTCATGAAAAAATCTCATTTTAAAAATATTTTTATCTGAACATTAAGATTCATTTGAGAATGTTTATAATATTGTAAAAAATGAGATAATATTTCAAATTGAAATTAGTAAACTTCATGGTTCAAACGTCAGAACAGCTCCTGAGAGAACATGTTGGTGATGCTTAAAAGGGTGAACTTCAACACAAACTCAGCTCTTTAATCGTGTGAGCTATTTATGACTGCCACCTAAGGAGAATATTTTTGTCGCAAGGCCTCACTTAAGGTAAGATTACTCATCACGGTGCAATCCATTTCCCCGCCCTCCCATTGTGAAATGGATTACAAATTTTTGGGGAAATCTTAGGTAATCTTAAGTAATCTCAATTCATTTCCTGCTCTAACGTATCTAAATGGTGTAAATGATAGATTTCCTTGTAATCAATTTCCCTATAATAGATTTCAAGGTACCCAAACAGCCCCTCAGGGTCTACTCGAACATATGAACTTTAAAATTTAGTATTATCAATTTCAAATATTATTTTTTAAAAAATATTCTAGACATTTTCAAATAAATCCCAATGTTTAGATGAAAATATTTTTAAAATAAGATTTTTTCATGAGAGTAAATATACAATATGGTAATGCATACCATCTCTTCACAAATTCCCCATTCAAATAAAGTGGCTTGGCCTTGGCTTTAACTCCCACATGTCATCATCATTTACTTTACATTAAATGCTCTAAATTTATATCTTTACATTAAATGCTTTAAAGTACTAATTTTATATCCTTTTTGTTTGAGATTATCTTTTATTTCAAAGACAATAAATTTTTTGTAATTTTGAATAAAACTATTTTTACCAAAATCTATAGCTTTCTAAAAGAAATTTCTTAAATAAATTTAACTATTATAATAAAATAATTATATTTTAAGCAAATTTTTCATGCAGTATGGTAATACATTTTTCAAATTTCTTCCAAACGTAGCCAAACAATAGCAATACATTTCCAAGTCACAACCAGATGCTACCCAAACAACAATATTCCATTTCCAGATAATATATTACACCAGTAATGTATTACGCTAGTAATTTATTTAACAAACAATATAATTCTAGGTACTCAAAAGGCCCCCAAAAGTTTATAAATGAATAATCTGCACCATCATAATCATGAGCCAAATACATAAAGTAAAACATGAAAGGTAAAACTACTCTACTTTGAACTTTTTTGGACCGTTCATTTTAATTCTTCGTATAGCTTAAAATCTGCACCATTTTTGTTGCCACAATGCATAAATCTAAGGTAGAATGCATTTGCAGAGCTTCGAATTGTCTTTCAAATCTTGAATCCATAGACAACTAGGATGTAATAATGTGTCATTCGGCGCATAATAAACTTGTCCAACAAAAAAAAAAGAGAGAATGTTTATAATACCAATTTTCATGTCAGTGTACCTCCATATATATTGTCAACAGTGTATGTGGACTGTCCATATACAGTATTAACAGTGTTAACAGTCCCTAATCCCTATTGTTAACTGTGTATATAAACTATTAACAGCATAACAACAGTCCATAGAAACTGAATTACACAAAAAGTCCATAGACACCGTTAACAGTGTCTATGAATTGTCTATCTAAATGGTTAAACAGTGTTAACAGTCCATATACATCCCATGTACACAGTTAACAGTCCCTAAACACTGTTAACTGTGTATATCAATTATTAATAGTGTACATGGACCAGTAGGAGTCCATACACACTATCAACAGTGTGCATGAACGATATATATTGTTTGTAGAAAAAGTCCATACACACCGTTAACTGTCCATCTAAACCGTTAACAGTTAACAGTCCATATACATCCATTTACACAGTTAACAGTCCCTTGACACTGTTAACTATGTATATCAATTATTAATAGTGTATATTGACCAATAACAGTCCATACACTATCAACAGTGTGCATGGACAATATATATTGTTAATAGTGTTAACTGTCCATATACATCATACACTGTTAACAGTCCACATACACTATTAGCAATCAATATACACTATTAACATTGTATATGCACCATTAAAAGTACATATGGATTGTTAAACAGGGTGTATGAACTGTCCATTAAACTGTTAATAGTGTGTATGGAGTGTCCATGTACACAATTAATAGTGTTAACAATCCATATACACCTGTAAACACTCTTAACATCGTTAACAGTGTGATTATAGTTCAAATATGGACATTATACACGGTTAAAAGTGTGTATGGACTTACATTCTCAAAAAAAAAAAAGTTTGTATGGATCGTTAGCAGTCTTATAGGGATACTATACACTGTTAAACAGTGCATATTGTCCATATACAATTGTTATAGTTACACAATTAACAGTCCATATACACTGTAACGATGCATATGAACAATATACATTGTTAACAATGTACATAGATTATAAAAAAGCAATGATGCATAACAATTAATCCAGCATTCAAATAAATGCAATACAACTATCATGCATATTGCCCATATACATTGCTATAGTTACAGCATTAACAGTCCATAGACACTGTAACGGTGCATATAGACAATATACATTGTTAACAATGTACATAGATTATAAAAAGGTAATGCAATACAACTATCATACATATATGAGAAGCTATCAATGCATAGCAATCAATCCATCATTCAAATAAATGCAACGGCTAACCTGGCCTGACTATAATTAGGGATGGCAACAGGTCGGGTATGGGTCGGAACCTGAATGTATTCGGGTCCAGGTTTTAGACCCGGACCAGACCCGTCAGGTCCAAAAGTTGGACCCATACCCCCACCTGTTAGGTCCCGGGTCCAGCCCGTTGAGACCCAAGTCTGGTCAGGTCCATTGCCACCCTCACCATGAGCTTCTTCTTTCTTTTGGCCTTTCTTTACCATCATATATCCAAATTATTGGCAACAAGGTCACAACCCGCTATTAGATTTGA